GTGTGTGTGTGTGTGTGTGTGTGTGTGTGTGTGTGTGTGTGTGTGTATGATCTCAAACATTATTGTGAGATCATGTAAAATTTGGTAACAGCATATATTCTGATCGTGTTTGACTACAACCTTAACATGGACATATCCTGCTTTTAAATCATTCTTTTTTACATTTAAATCAGTTGGGGGTCTATATAAAGTGGAATTGTAATGCTTTGGTCTGAACTTATTGCAACTCCACAGGCTCCTCTTTTACCCTTTGTTCTGAGGTGTGTCTCAGATCAACTTGTTTTGACAATGGCTCTGTAAATCAAAATGAGGTGCTTCACATGCTTCATAAGCTGCCCCCCCCTCCAGCTTCAAGACTGGTCCATTTCAGTTTGATAGATTTTTGTTTTTTGTTTTTTTTTACAAATGAATTAAAAGATGTCAACAAGGAAAGACTTGTCCACCCAGTCTTAAATGATGGAGCTAGAGTCTGACCAAGAGCGAGAAGAGAATGAAGACAACCAAATTGTAGTTGGCAAGTCCAGAACTTCTATGTCTGTTCCATCACAATTTGATGTAATATGAGGTAAATGGACTGTACTTATATAGTGCCTTTCTATCCAACCAGGACACTCAGAGTGCTTTACACTAAAATCTGTGCCTTCATTTACCCACTCRCACAGCACTTTACTACACCTCTCTACAAAGCTAATCTAAAATTATGCCATATTAGTGCTTTAAAGCACATTCATACACAGACGGGACACATATCAGAAGCAGTAGGGGTTCAGTGTTTTGCTCAGGGACAATTCAACATGTGACTAAATAGCAGTGGAATCAAACCACCAACTCTCTCATTGGAGAACAACTAACCACTCATCCACAGCCAACCTGTAATTGTGCAGAAAACATCACAGAAAACAAAGAACAGGTTGAAAAATATGACCTAAACAGAACACAAAGATATCTATGCAGGACTTTTTCAATTTCACACAACAAAATGTGYTTAAACAGCTAAAAAGGTGGATTTTGCATGATCCCATTTAAGGTCTAATTCAACATCTGTAAAGCAGACTGAGTTATGGCCATTTTTTATGTTTTCCAAAGTTGATTAGCTGTGGTAGGACATCTTGAATTGGGTTTACTCCAAAATTGAACTTGATCTAAATGTACATACAGTAATTACTTACTTTGAGTTTCAGTGAAGCCTATTCAGAGATTAATACTGTCTGACCAGCATAACTGCAAATGAGGTGACTTAGAACTTTGCACACTTTAAAAGCAAAGAACAGACTCTGTACTCTTCTGTGATTTGGACAAAGCCCGTGTTGCAGTTTCTCTCGCTGCTCGTCTCTCAAATGTAATACAAGAGTTAGGCTTCCTGAGGCTACAGTAAGCATCCATACTTGTGTGAATGTGTGTCAGCTCCATGTTGAAGATTAGCCTCCTACAGGGAGCAAAAAATCTATTCACTGGGGATTTACTTCCCACAGTAGGAAAAGAAAAAAAAACTGTAAGAACTGTCTTTTTGCACTGCCTTTAGAACAGGATGCCACTATCTTTCAGATTACATTGATGTTTTAGCTCAACAAATGGCCTAACATGTGGTTGGACAGCTGTGTTTGTGTACGAACATGTATTATAGCACTCTAAATAGGGAAGTAAAAATGAGGTTTAATCAAGTGCATGAGAGATTTAGGGACATGAGAACAGGTGGGGTGATTTGCATAGAGTAGAGTGCACGTTTGACAACACAAGCTTTGGCTTGTCGTCTGTGTGGTCTTGTTTCAGCTAATGGACATCCCTCTCTTTAACCTCACTCTCCTTCACAGAGGATGCGTGGACCTTTAGGAAAGCCAGCTGCTCTGACACATGCTAGCAGAACTCAGCTGCTGGAAGTGAAACCCATCCCATGATTGATGGTGGAAAACTTGAGGCTACATCAATCTATCAACTGTGTTAATTAATCCACTGATCTGATAACAGGTAATTAATAGCATTTTGCCGCAGGATGGAATCGCTTAAGTTGTGACTGCCCTGCAAACCAGCATGCTAATGCTCATTAATGCTCCAACAGATCTGACTGTGTGATCATGAAGAAGATAGATGACAGCTCATCTTAGACGAGTTCTGCTGGAACACTTGGTTTTCAAACAATAAACTTCAATTTGCTTTTTGCCTTTTTTATTACGAACACTCTCAGTGAATCAAAGGAATTTCTCACTTCTCAAGGGACAAAATTCTTTTTGAGACCTTAAAAACTGAGTTATTCTGAGAAGGCATAAAGATCTGTACCTTTTTCAAACCCTTGCAAACTAATGAGCCCTTCCTGACTTCATAACCTTTAGAATGCAATCAAACATGCATATAAGTTCAGAATGTTTTCTAACAGTGGGTGAGATAAAGATTTTAAGTATATTTAGCATTTGGGTGAATACTTGGTTATTTAGAAATACCTTAAGCAACTCATCTACCAAAATATTACCAGATACAAAATAATAAAATGATATAAAATACTATACTAGGCTAAATGGTGAAGCTAAATTGTCTCTAGATGTGAGTGAGAGTGAATGTTTTTGTCTCATTTGTCTCTATGTGTCCCTGCGATTGAGTTGCAACTTGTCCATGGCGTACCCCGTCTTTAACACAGAGGATGCTGGACATGGGTACGTACCAGTGACCTCTGTGACCCTGAAAGGAAGAAGTGGGCGTAGATAATGGATGGATGGATAAATTCCTTTAACAATTTCAATAGTGACTAACTTTTGCCATTAGAGTTTAATTTCTTATTAACACTCTACAACATCTATGACTGAGCAACCAATATTATATTATATTAGTTTCCTATAGATTAGTTTTATTGCCTTCCAAAACTGGAAACGAGACACAAGTTTGCTTCTTATTTGTGGTTTTAAGTATTTTTTCTGCTTTTGTGTCTTTCTGATGCACACTAATATTGTTTACATTAGATCTGTTTCAGATTAACAATTGGTGAGAACACACACACACACAAAAAGAGATGTTACCAGTTGTTGATCCTGAGGTCCCCAGCCCGCATACTGCAGTTGAGCATTCCGCACCTCTGGAGGGTTCAGGTTCCACGTTTCCCTGGGGAGGGGAGGGGACAGTGAGGGACTCCTGAACACAAACACAACGACCGTCTGCTTCCAGCAGCAGCAGAACAAGTGTAAAAATGTGAGAAAGACGGTTTAAGTGTATCCATAAAACACCAATATGGTCTTGCGGTGTCACCTCTACTTATTGGGGAAATTGCTTCGCAGTGCTGACTGCTGAAGCACGCTTTCTGTCTGTCTGGAGCTGAAGATGAGCGAGGTCATCTGAAGTTTTTCTTTTTGCCTTTGGCACATGACCACTGGGTGGCAGCACGCAAATATATTAGAATAGATACAAATACACACTGACCTGTTGGTCAAATAATAATAATAATAATAATAATAATAATAAACAAAAGCTGTGCATCAAATTGCCAAAGCATTACCAGCTTTTTAGAGACAAAAAAAAAAAAAACCTTAAGGCTACACTGATTAAAAAAAATGTGTTTGGAAAGAAAAAAAAGAAGTCTTGTTCTTGAAACAACACATTTTCAAGAGTTAGAAAAGAAGCAAGATTAATTATATATAACTGCAATCTGGAGACAGACCTCTGYGGATGCAAGACAACCCAAAACTCTGACAGAACACAAAGCACTGCGGTGAAAGAACATGTGAAAAACCCTCTAACTGAGATCTGAAAGAGTCTTAGCTGGCTGCCAGCTGTGGTTCTTGACATATGGGGCGTTACAAAGTCCTGCAGGGTGCCAGAGCTTTTACATCAAACGCCTTTTCATTCCTGTTAATCTAACAGTGAAAGTTTATACAAAAAAGAGCACCTTAAATAAAAAAATGACATCTGTAATTAACTTTATGTCCTACATAAATCATTGYTGCTTATTTGTGATCATTCACACAGAGAGGAATGTTAACAGGCAAATATAGACCCAAGGTTTACTATGAAAAATTCATAATTAAATCTTTTTTTGGTCAGGAATGAGAGCAATATTTTGTTTTATTTTATTTCATTCAGAATCTGTTTTTTCAAGTTTAATGGAAAAATACATTCTAATATAAAGACAGACTTATTAGCCTCAGGTATTGCAAGTTTATAGAGTTTCACTATTTTTCTCCTCTCTGCAAACATTTAAAAACTCAACATTCAGATCATACCTTCTGTATTTTACCCAGTGACAAAAACAAACTTAAATTGCAAAACAGAAAAGCTAAAAAAAATGCAAAAAGCCACAATACATCAGCAAAAAATAAATAAATAAATAAATAAATAACAGAACTAATTGGCCTCTGGGCCAAACCGCTCCAGAGGCAGGATGGTTGTTTTCTAAGCAGTGGGTCAGAGGTTTGATCCCTGTAGCCTGCGGTGTACCATGGTCTATTTGTGCAAGTCTTTGTATCCCCCACTGCCCACCAATATGCTTTTTGGTGTATGAGTTAGAATATAAAAGTGCAATTTATTATTTGTTAAAAGAACTACAGCATAAAGCACTGTGCGTAAATGTGCGTATGTCTTGCTATTTTTGCACGGACACTTTTGGGACATTAGAAAACTCTTGTGTTGACAGTTGCCCTTCTGAGGACATTTTGCCTGGTTCACACAAGGGAAAACCCTATTTGTGGGTCAGGGGTTACATTTAGGGTACGACATTAATTAAGTTTAGAGTTAGGAGTGTACCTGTGAGGTTAGGTTTGGGGTAAGGGGTCAGGGTTAGGTGGTAAAAATTAATGCAAGTGAATGCACATCCTCACAAAGATGGTGATAGTCTAAACGTGACAAATCAGGCTTTATTTTCAAATCTAACCCAGATCTTTTTCATATGTGGTACCAACCTGATGCACGTCCATTTTCAATGGTCTTGTTGCATTTCATCCAGCCTTTACTTCATTGAGGTCGGGGAGTTCGAATCAATTCAGATATTGATTTTATTGATACAAACATCATGCAGTTTAAAGCTTTTAACTCTGCACATCTTCAGCTACAGAAAAGAAGTCCGGTTGCTTCATCTCTTTTAGACTTTCTAGGTTTGTCATGTCCTGGATGATAGAGTTTACATCATCACAACTAACGAAGGCATGCCAACATATTGGATACTAGCATGATGGCATTGCTGCTTCAGGTTGTTTCCTACGTTCAGTTCTGTTTAGCTCCTGTCCTAGAAGTAGAGGTGTGCAGCAGCAGGATCAAATATAAAAACTGGACAAAATATAAGAATTTAGTCGGCTTTGATTGCACAACAACTTTAGAATCCATGCACACAGGCTAACATGTGTAGTGACCATGTTTATTTCTGTGAATACAACGTGATGCATCTGATATCACATTGTCTATGTGGATGAAGGTCATATTTAAATTAAAATGTGAACAACCATGCAGCAAATAAAAATAAATAAATTGCATCTAAGCAAAAGGTCATAATTGTGCATTAAGACCTTCAGTGTAAACTTAATCTAACTTTCTTTCAGAGAAAATCACGTTATTTAATAAAACTCAGGATAATATAATAAAATAGGACATAACTGSAACAATGCAGCTGCCTACTTACGGGGTTTCCAGGCTGCAGATGATGTAAAATGCTGTATAGGAATACTGGTAAACCTGAATAGAGACACAGCAAAGCAAACACTTAAAAACCACTTCATTTGGACTCATTTTAATTAGAACTGACTTGTTTTTTTTTTTACATTCTGTTAAGTTGAATTATTAAAGTGTTCAACACCCAGTGAGATTACATTAACCAATTAGTTTTCTTTTCTGTTAATGAAAACACAGAATTAACACTGACAATATTAAATCCTTTCAACGTAAAAACAAAAAGAAAGCTCTTCATGCATAATCCTGASCAAACACTTTATCCATTCAGACATTTTTGAGCACTGACATGAAACAGAACATGAAGGTTCAAATGAAATTATATTAAGACTAGAGTAAAATGGTTCTATATTATTGTTTGTCATTTTCATTAAAAATAAATACATAAAAAAACTCAAATAATTCCAGTGATCTATATGAAAGCAATTATAATTTTGTCATGTTTTGTTACACATTAAGCAAAATTACTGCATCTTTACGTAAATGAGTCATRTGCCTAAAACAAGTATGTCTCTGTTATGAGAGTATCACATGAAGAAAWGATAAGTAATAAAATAGTTACAGACAAACAGACAGAGTTGTCTTGGCTGCAACTGCATAGAGCTCTGTAAGACAGGTTTCACTTAAACAAGAAAACATTACACACTCCTAATTTTTATCCAGGCACCTTTTGTAAAAAAATAGAACTTCAAGAACCAAACAAAGACACTTCTACATAATATAAATGTGTTGCCTCTATTGTAGATTTTCTCAAACAGCTGTAAAGTTAAGAGTAGTGTATATCTAGTGCAGGGGTCTGCAACCTGCGGCTCTGGTGCCACATGTGGCTCCTTGGTCCCTCAGCAGTGGCTCTTTGAAAATGTGACCAAACATGACAGAATATTTGTTTTGTTTTGTTTTATWATACCCACAACAKAAATCAATTTGTATGCAAATATGCAATCAATACCACTAATACAAAAAGTAAAATGTTAGCCTGTTTACTTAAATATTACAATTTCTTTCTATGATCTTTCTCTCAAATCCATCAGAATTACCTTTAAAAAATTTGAAGACTACATAATAA